GGTAGCCGTATATACCTCAGTAAGAAAAATTCATATCCGCTAAAATCAATTACAGATATGGATATACATGTAGATATTTAAGTGGATATGCATGCAGATAAAAAAGAATATGAAAAAACTAGATAATATTGAAAAAAAAATATAGTTCATTTGATACAAAAGAGTTCATTAATATGTTCATTATATCTGAAAAGTTAAAATTAGCCATCTTAATCATCAAAATTAACCTCAAACTCATAGTCTAATAATTACAACTATTGCAACAGTTTTACTAATATGTATTTGGATATATCGGATACGGATCCAGATATTTCACTACAAAACCATATTCGTAATCATATCCTATTGGTTATACATTTGATTAACCATATCCGTATCCTAACAGATACGATTACAGTTACTTCCTCGGATTCGGATACGGTTTACCACCCTTATGAGGGACGTATGTGCTATTAACCCAAAAGTAAATAACCATATAAACACAACTCTCACTTTTAATAATATTTGTAATACTTGCACGGTATCAAAAGGATAGAATCACATTGATTTTTCAATAAAAATGAAATAATAATAAGTCAAGAAGCAACACATGCATACAGTAATGCAGATATGGGTATATGGTACATTGATGCTGAACCAATTCTAAAGCAGTGAGCAGATGTGAAACAACAATGACAAAGGACACGGATACAGATGACGTGGTATCATAATGTAAGTGTTGTCCATACTTCAATAGAACTAGAAACACTTAATGCATTTTGCTCTCTATCAAGGAAATTCACAAGAAAATGATTGGCAACTGAAAAAAAAACCCACAATGTAATGAAGAACAGTTCAGAGTCAAATTCAACTGAAGATTTATAACAAACAAGAAGTGCAAGAGGCTTGAAGAAAGGCTCCAATGGATCCATCTTTCTACTTATATACATTGATGTTGCGCAAACAAATTTTTTGACAGAGCGAAGATGCAACTAGCTCTTCAACATTGAAAGCAAATAAAAACAATAGACAATTCTTTTTTTTTTTATCTAAAGAACTCCCACCAATACAGTCTCATTCTTTGTTATGAGATCTCTAGGGGAACTAGACATTTGAGTTCATTAACATTTACAACAAACACACAAGAGCTGGAATCAGAGTTTACCATGGCATGTTCTAGAAATGTGCTCAGCTTCTTCAGCGGCCATCGGCAGAAGTGAATGTATCAGCAAATCCG